TCTCAGTAGATTTAACAAAAGCAGGGATGAAAGCAGTAGATAAAAAATATATGGATGAAGCCGACGTGACGAAGGCAATCGGATTAGACAGGAAAAAGAAATTTGTGATCCGAAAAATATCAGGTCTCTGATACCATGTCAAACGGGGGCAAAACGAGTGCGGTCCCACGCAGGTGAAACGCACCATAAGAGGGTTAGCCCAAATGAAGCCCAAGTGAGGTTCCATCCCAAAACCAAATTGGTCATGGGAGTAGTAGCCCACTAGGCTTATAAACTAGGTTCATTTACCCTATCAAATCAATGTGGGACAATTCACAAGTGATATTCCAAAACGCCTTCTCACTTGTGAGTCCTTCATCAGCCCACGCCTCCAATCAGGCCGGGTACATTTTCAGCCCACGCCTACAACCAGGCCGGGGGTACATTTTTCAACCCACGCCTACCACCAGGCCAGGTAATTTTTTTTTTTTCTCGCAGGTCCCAAATTAGGCCCGTTTTGATACCATGATACGAAAGACACGAGATGAATTCAGAAAAATGATCATCTCAATCGAATGATTCAAATTTCTATAAACCAAGAATATATATACACAAATATTAGGGTTACAGTTACCTAAAGATACCCTAAGACTAATAAAATAAATACACAATAACATACTTTATGTTTGGAAGGCCCGGTTGGTGAAATTTAGTTTTCGCTATAATAAGTTATATGTTGGGGCTTGTCGCTTCTTGTTCCCGGCTGGGGCGGCCTCCATAGAAATACTAGCTGATTGTAGTAACATGCTCCATTAGTTCAATACTACTTCTTTTATTTATAAGACTTTTTTTTTCAGTTAATAGTATGTGTAGGAGACATTTTCTTTTGTCTATTAATATTATGTACACGGAAATTCAATCAGTAATTCAAAGTTATATATTTTATATTGGTGCAAAGTTAGAGAAAAAATGTTGTTTCTCTCGTAATTGCGTAGAAAAGAAGTGTAGGGGAAAATATTGTTTCTTCTCATTCCCAAATCCAACCACAACTGAGGGCTCCCAGTATAATTGCATGGAATTGTTTCTGGTATTATATTGAACATATCTATGAAGAAACTTCCAAGTTGAACTCTACAGTTAGAGCATCTCCAACGTGAGATGTTGACTTAATAAAATGTTAGCCACATCATCAAGTTATAAAGTGAAAATAAAAATTAATCTCCAATCCATAATGTTATGGACTCTTTTATGCTGACATGGAGACAATAAACACCCAAAGTGTGAAGCCCACTTTCTAGTTTTCCAAAGAGTGTTTGAAAGCCAACTCATAAAAAATCTAACCTATTTTAAGCTTTTGAAATGGATGCACTGGAGATGTGCATTCCAAGTTAAAGTCTTCTCTTTTGACATTCATATTACATGGATTTACATTCCATTCATCATTTGACATGTGTTCAAAATTAATTAATGTTCAAAGTGGAGCATTGGAGATGCTCTTAGTGAAAGTAATTTCTCACTCAAGCACGCCTTTTAATACTAGAATATACATGGCAAAGTGCTTGCACAATCTAGGATAACAAATAGTAGTGTAGATTAGTATCTATTATTATTATTATTATTATTAGTATTATTATTATTATTATTATTATTAGCATTATTATTTAATAGGTGTATTAGAGAATAAGTTAGAAATTTAATATTATTGTTTAATATTTAGTAAGAGATCTTGTCTTGTTGGGCAAGTTAAGGTCTAGAGTTAGGAGCCTTATATAAAGGACTCCCTCTAGTTTATTTTACTGGGTTGATTATGAATGAAATATGAATTGATTGTGAGTTTTATCGAGAGAGTATCTCGTTTATCTTTCCCACTAGTATGCTTCCTACATCAGTTGGTATCAGCAGTCAGTACGATTCGCAATGCCGCAGGGACGACAAGATACCATATCGGAGGTGGATCCCTTCGGAGAGTGGCCGCCTCCGCCGTCGAGACTGAACTCGTTGCTGCACACGATGACCAAGATGTGCAGCAACAGAGTGCGATTTTTGAGAATGATGACGGGTCATTGTACGACGGTCCACCTATCTTCAATGAGGATCATCCGGTGACGGAGACATATCTTTGCGGCAATATGGGTCTCGCGTGGGACATCGCAGAAGTTGGGCCTTTGACGGGGATGTCGTCGTTCAAACCCAACTTTTGGAAGCCAACAATGGTTTTCCGGAGCCGAGGCCGAGGCTCAATAACTGGTGGGCCATTTTCCGATTGTCTATCCCGAAGTCTCTCAATAACGGGATGCTTGGCCGTAGTTATGGATTTGAGTGCGCTGAAGGATGTGGTATGTTTAGTGTTAATTCCGCTATGTGGGTTATACATATGGAGGCGTGTACATGTGCCTTTGCAGCAGTTCAATCCTTGTCCATGATTATGTTTACCATCGAGATTGTTGGACGACATTCATCCTTCGTGTTCGACCGGGAAAAACGACGGGGGTTTCCTACCATGAGTTCGACACCACACACCGGCCACGAGAGCGCTTCCGAACCGGGAGAGAATGGTGTAGATTCGTATCTATTATTACTATTATTATTATTATTATTATTATTATTATTATTATTATTATTTAATAGGTGTCTTAGAGAATAAGTTTGGAATTTAATATTATTGTTTAATATTTAGTAAGAGATCTTGTCTTGTTGGACAAGTTAAGGTCTAGGGTTAGAAGCCTTATATAAAGGACTCCCTCTATTTTATTTTACTGGGTTGATTATGAATGAAATATAAATTGATTGTGAGTTTTATCGAGCGAGTATCTCGTTTATCTTTCACTCGTACGCTTCCCTACATCAAATAGTATAAACATTTACAGTTGTAACCTTTCAGACATTACGACTACAACCAGTAATTCAAAGTTACATTTTTCTTATTGTAACAAAGATGGAAAATAAGTACTTTGCATTATGTTAGGACTGATTGGTGATTTCTCTCTTTTTCTTTGGTCATTATGTTTTGAGTCCAATACTTTGCATTGGATCTTTGAAGCTTGTAGTAGCTCAATGTTTTGTAAGGTTGTTGTCTGTTGTTGCTTATGAAAATGTGGCAATCTTAATGTGTGAAATGCGTATATTGTTGATGTTT